GCTCGTTTGACGCCCCGCTCTCCTGTGCTGAAATTCGGGTGCCCCCAGACAGCCCAGGAGCCTCTCGCATTTCCTCTCTGCCTCTGCCTGGTGCGGACGTGAAGCAGTATTGCGTGAAGGCTGGTGAAGCTCTGCGTGAACGTTCTCCAGTCGTACGAGTGCCGCAATCCGATGCCCTTTTTCCTGGTGCCAGCTCCGCCAGGGCCTGGTCCTGCATGAGGCCCGTCCCAGATGACGAACGGCTTCCAGAGACCTCAGCCCCCACGCCAGCTGCCCAGGGTGCTGCCGATGGCTGCATCAGGCTTGACGAGGGTCTTCTCGTGACTACAGTGAACGCCAACTCCTGGGGCACCCTCAAGAACTTTCTTTCCTCGGCCAGTTCGCATGTGGTTATCGCTCAGGAACATCGGCTTAAAGATCCCTGTGCGCTGGACCAGGCTTCGAAGTCGTCCAAGTTTCTGGGATGGAAAACGCTGTGGGCGTCAGGTCTGCTTGGAGAGGGAGGCGGCGTTTCGTCGGGAGTTTGCGTCTGTGTTCGAGATGGCCTTGGGCTTTTCGAAGCTGCTGCGAATTCTGTTCTCGTTCCTGGTCGAGCTATCGCCACCATGATTCACGTTCCTGGTTGTGCCCCGTTTTGTGTCTGCAGCCTCTACCTGGTCCACAGTGAAGGTCTCTCGGATTCCAATAGAGAAACGTTGAGGGTTGTCGGGGAATTTTTAGACTCCGTGGGTTGTGAGTTTATCGTGGGGGCCGATTGGAACATGGATCCCGAGGTCATCGAAGCTTCCGAGTTTGGCAAAAAGCTTAGGGCCAGTACGATTGTTCCTGAAGGTCACACCCACTTCCCCAGCAGGGGCCCTCCTGATCGGTTCGATTTTTTCGTTGTGTCAGAGGCTCTCAGCCTCTGTCTCAAGAGTGTCTATGTTGAAGGTGACTCCAGCATCACTCCACATCGCCCAGTGTCGCTTCGTTTCCACAGCTCCCTGGGCGATCTCAAGGCTCTTGCCTTCCGCCAACCCCCTTCGTTGCCTGTGTTCCCTCCTGTTGGCCCTTCGCCCAAGTCAGGCGACTGGAGTGCTGCGCTTGGTTTGGCCGAAGAAGCGTTTGGGGCGGTCTCGAACGGGGATGGGGAAAAAGCGCGCAGGCTTTTGGGCATTGGATACAAGTTTTGGGCTGATACTGCGGAAAAAGACCTTGCCAATTTCCTGGGGGCCGATCTCAAGGTCTTGGGGGCTAGGGGCAAGCGGCCCCAGGTTTTCTGGAAGTCTGTGCTCCGCCCAGCGGGGCGTGAGAAAGATCCAGGTTTACGGTCTATCTCCTGGCTGTGTAATCAGCTTCGTGCAGTTAGGTGCTATCTCTCGGATTCGGTCTTGCAGGAGGCTGGACGACAGGTGCTCAACTCGATCCTCCAGCCTCCGTCGGCCGTGGCGGTGCAGGAGAGCTCTGAGTTCCACTCGCTCTTCAAGGCCAGTGCGGCCCTAGCTAGATGCGCCTTTTCTCCTGTGCTGGATCCTGAGCTCGGCTCTGATCTTGACGACCTGATCGATCAGGTAGCTCAAGCCGTCGCCGCTGCTAAGGTCACCGCTGCGAATGCCTCGCGGCTAGAGTGGCAAGAGTGGGTGCGTACGGGCATTGATGCTGGTGGTCGCAACGCTCAGAGGGCCATCAAAGACCCTGAACCCTGGAAACCCTCCACCACCTTATCCAGATGTGGTACCATAGTTTGCGACCCGGCGTCTTTACTGCAGGCCGAAGGCGACAAGTTTGCGTCTATTTGGGGCACTGGCAAAGGCATTGGTGTGGGCCATGACCTTTTGCCCCATGGGCGCATTTTAGAGCCTGCCGAGCTCCGTGTTTTTTCCAAAAAGTATCGCTCCTCCTCGGCGGTGAGCGTTGATGGATTCCACTGTCGGCATTTTAGCCTTCTCCCCGATGAGGCTTTGCATGCCCTGGCCCTGTGGTTTGCTGTTTGGGAAGCCACTGGCGAGTTGCCCAAGCAGCTCTCGTGGGTGCTGATGGCCATGTTGGCCAAGCCGGCGGGTGGGTTCAGACCCATTGGGGTCTTCCCGAGCCTGTACCGCCTTTGGGGCCGCGCCCGTCGTCAGGAGGCTCTTCAGTGGGAGCTCACCTACCCCAGAAAGTACTGGGCTGCTGGGGCCAACAGGGGAGCGGGGGATGTTGTTTGGAGGCAGGCTTTCAGGGCTGAAGCGGGCACTCGCAAGAGAGAAGTGTCGGCTTCCATTTTCTGGGATCTCAGGAAGTACTATGAGCACATTAATCTGAGGTACCTTTGGCAGCAGTGCGTGCACTTTTATTTCCCGTTGCCTCTGGCGAGACTGGCCATCAGGGCGTATTCGTGTGCTCGCTTTCTGGCCCTCGGGGGCATCATCCAGGGCCCTTAGTTCGTTTCCAAAGGTCTGGTGGCGGGTTGTTCTTTTGCGACCAGCCTCATTCGCGTTTTTGCCATGCAGGCTTTCGATGAGGCCCTCGTTTCGATTCCCAAGGGCCCAGGAGCTATGACCGACTTCGACGCCTACGTCGATGACCTTAGTCTCAGCTGCACGGGACCTGCTAAGGTTGTAGTTGCCAGCCTCACGGCGGGAGCCAAGGCGCTCCACCGAGCCATCACGGCGACGCTCGAGTGCAAGCTGGCCATGGACAAAGCGGGAATGATCAGCAACTCCCCCGATGTTTCCAGAAAGCTCACTGAGGCCCTGGGGCCTCTTGTTGGACCAGCCTGCTCTCGGGTTACCAATCTGGGTTCCGATTTCACTGCGGGCAGACCTGTTCGCTCCAAAGGGCGCTCGGCCAAATTGAAATCTAGAGCTGCGGCTGCGCTGAGGAAGACTAAAAAGCTGAAGGGCCTCCAGCAGGTCCTGGGCCGCAAGTGCTTGAAGGTCTTCGCGGCGGGACCCATGGCGGGAGCCGTGTACGGCTCTGACTTGTTTGGGATTTCGGACAGGGAGCTTCTTAATCTCAGAAGGATGGCCATGTCGACGGTTAAACCCAGAGCCCAGGGCAGGTCCCTCAGTGTCTTGTGTCTTCTCTCGGATGACCCTACTTGGAGGGGCTGTTGCGCGCCTGTCATCCGCTGGGCCAAGGAGGTCTGGACCCTGCACACTCATGGGTTTCCCTGGACGTTGAGCTGGGCCGAACTCAGGGACGGCTGGAGCGCTGCCTTTGCGTCGGATGACCACTCGTGGTCCAAAGTGGCTGGGCCGATGTCTGCCCTGCGCATGACCTTGTACAGGCTGGGCTGGACCATGCCCAATTTTTGCACCTTTGTTGACGACTTTGGCCGCGAAATCTCATTGACCCTGTCGTCCCCTAAGCTTGTCAAGCTTTACTGTAAGGAAGCTCATCTTCGGGGTCTTGAAAGGGAGTCGGGGGATAAATATGGTTGTGGTGTCAGGCTTTGCTGGGACGTGGTCAAACAGCTGATGTCTTCCAGGAAGGTTTCTAGCAAAACCAAAGGTTGGATCCGAGCTCAGGCCACGAGAGCTTGCTGGACGGCAAGCGATGTGGCAGCTGCAGGGTATGACTTTTCTGACAAGTGCGCGCTGCGCGGCAAGGACCGCGACACCCTCTTCCACAGGCTCTTCGTGTGCCCGTCTGTGCAGTCTGTGAGGAAAGCGGTGCTTGACAAAAAGTATTCAGAATGAAGCGTTGGAGCTAGGTGCAGATCATGTCGACATGTGTCTGTACTTGCATGGTGCCTTCAAACATCCTGGAGACTATGCCCCACCGCCACTCACTGAAGGAGGTACTAGCCTGGAATGGTTCGTCGATGTTCTTCCTGACCCTGGGGACCTTGCTGCTGCTCCCTCTATTCCTCCCTCCGCGGGGCTCTGGGGGCACCTCTTTATGGATGGCTCGTGCCGTCGTCATGTAGTGCGTGAACTCTCTAGGGCTGGCTGGGCTGTTGTCATGGTTTCATGTTCGGGTGAGCGCCTCGGGGTTTTGAAAGGTCCTCTGTGGGCCCCGTGGCCTCAGACGCCCCAGGGTGCCGAGTTTGGGGCCCTGGCCTGGGCCGCTGTGCAAACCGAAGGCCCTGCCCTGTGTTATTCTGATTGTGCTAATGTGGTTCATTTACTGAATCTAGGAGCTGCCGACGGCGTCAGCGCCAGGCGGCAGTACGCGGGCCAGATCATTCAAGCTAGGCACTATTTCGGCACCAACCTAGTCTCCTTAGATAAGGTTGAGGCCCACAAAGATGCTGACGAGGAAGGGCTTTCCTCGCACGAGAGATTCGTGCGAAGAGGGAACTTCTTCGCCGACGTCTACGCGAAGGAGGGTGCAAAGCAACACCCTTCCATGCCCCCAATGGAGCAGGAAGCCCTCGATCATCAGATTCTAGTATCAAGGGCGATCTTGCTTGCGGGAGCGGAGCTCTTGCCACTTTGGCCGAAGTTGGAGTTTCGAGGTCTGTTGCGCGGCCCTCCGCTGCTCGACTCGAAGGCCCCCCTTTTAGAGCTCGTCCACGACTGGTCCCAACAAGGTTCCTCCTGGCGGTGTCGTGTGTGCCTGCGCGGTTCCCGTGCGAAGGCCAAGCCGCTGGGAGGAACGTGCCCTGGGCAATCCCGTTTGGACCAGGGTCTGTTGGAGAGACTAGGCCATCGAGTCATTGCCTTCCCTTGCAGTGACAATGGCCACCTGTACTTGTGCATGTCGTGCAAGTTTTATTCTAGCGGTGAAAAGGTCCTGGGTTTGTCCCGCAAGTGCGGGCCCCCCACGGAGACAGGTTTCAGAAACTTGAGACGGCTCCGTAAAGGACTGTACCCCGATAAGAGGGGTGTCTCGGTCGATATCGACGAATTCATCCCGCTTTTATAATTACAGGTAATTTGTTTGCCCTCAGTGCGCCTCTGGCTGTTGGAGCAAGCTGTCACTTTCAGAGGCATGAATGTTGCATTCAAAAAAGAGGAGGAGGAGGAGGAGGAGGAGGAGGAGGGGGAGGGGGAGGAGGAGGCGTAGGGTGCGTTCCTGGATGGCCGCGGCAGGACCCCATGGGCGCGTGCCAGCCGAGCAGGGCGTGCGCCACCGGGCAGGAGTCGGACGGGTGCCCGAGGCCGGACGGCCGGCCCGGACGGCCGGCCCTGTGCACGGGCGGGTGCCAATGGGGGGTGGCCGAAAGTCGGGGGCGGCAAAGAGGGGGGTGATGACTAGGGGTGGGCGGGGGCCATGATAGTTCCCCACATTTCATGGCGCCTCTTCTTATTTCATTACGTCCCTGGTCCCCCCGGTGGGCCGCGCACATGCCGCCGGTCATGATTTGCACCCCCCCGTCTTGGACACCCCCCTCTTGGCCGCTCCCGACCAATGGGGGGTGGCCTGAAGGAGGGGGTGAATGACCCTGATCTTCCAGGAGGGGCCAAAATGTAGCACCAGGACCTCGACATCTCATCTCCTGTCGAGGTCTGAGGCAGTCCAGATCTGTGTCTATAGGTCTGGAGGGCTATGTTCTAGCACTCTGGAAGGTCAGGGGAGAGGGCCCTAAAGGAGCCCTTCGGGGCCTCGTTTGGGCACCCGCTGGCTCCAGGAGGGGCCTTGGATGGTTAAAAGCTTAGGGCCATTCGGGGCTCCGAGGGGCTGCCGAAGGCATCCTGGCCAGGGAGCCCCAGTCCTCCTCCTCCTCCTCCTCGTCCTCCTCCTCCTCCTCCTCGTCCTCATCCTCCTCCTCCGCGTCCTCCTCCTCCTCGTCCTCCTCCTCCTCCTCCTCCTCCTCCTCCTCCTCCTCCTCCTCCTCCTCCTCCTACCCCTCGTCCTGCTCCTGCTCCTGCTCCTGCTCCTGCTCCTCCTCCGCCTCCTCCTCCTCATCCCCCCCCTCCCCCCCCTTCTCCTGCTCCTGCTCCCCTGGGGGCCCTCACCAGGCCCCGGGATCGTCAAAAGACGACTCAGGCTGAGAAGCGGGTCCTCGGGAAGGGGTCCAGACCTCTGGGGGTCGACGCTGCGAAAAAAAACACGACGTCGGGGGTCTGGGACCTTGGCGTTGCATTTTTTTGTTCGCAGCTGCCGTTCTCGCTCCACTCCGGGCGCCCGGGGACCCGCACAGATCGTTCCGGCTCGAGACATGTCCCAGAAAGATAGGTTCTGCGGCTCCATGCGCGGATCAGTTTCTCAGAGCCCCGAGTCATCAGGGGTAATTCGGGTCAGGGCTAACTCGGGTTCGTTTTTCGGGAATCCGAACCCGAGTTACCCCGGACCCGAGTTACCCCGGATAACTCGGGCGTCCAGAGCCCCAAATCATCAGAGGCATTTCGGGTCAGGGCTAATTCGGGTTCGTTTTTTCGGGAATCCAAACCCGAGTTACCCATGACCCGAGTTACCCCGGATAGCTCGGGCGCCCAAGTTCCAGTCTTTGGGAAGCGTCGGATCTCAGGGAGGTGGCCTCTGATTCGGCGGTGGCCTTCTGAGGAGCCCTCCGGGCCTCGTCGGGAGCCTCCTTGGAGACCTCCGGGCCCCTTCTGGGGAAGGCCCCACAGCCCTCCAAGAGGCGCGCCGCCGTCTCCGAGCCCCCCCCCCCCCTCGAGCCACCCCCCTTGTGCGCGCGGCCAAAAAACATCATGACGGGAGGTCTTTCCAGGGGTCCGTACAACGCCACGGGACCGTCAGAAACAATGCGGGCTGGCAAACCCGGGTCCAGGGGAACGGGTCCAGACCTCTCGGGGTCGACGTCAAAAGGAAATCATGATGTCGGAGGTCTAGGATGACGAGGCGTCCTGATCTGCGTACAAAAACGCCTACCAACGGATGTCCTGAGAGCCTTTGGTGCAGTGCAGGGTATGTTCTTAGAACCTGTCTGGTCAGGGCAGTTCTGTTCTGATCCATCGTTTTTTTTTTTCATTGTGAATGCCAGGACGGCCGGTCCTTGCCCAAAGAGCAGCTGCCGTCGCCTCTTCAGGGGCAGCGCTCGGCATGTTCTATGTTGCCTTCGCGGCCTGGGTCGTTTCCGTCCGCCCTGCCTCGTCGGATGCCTCCCGGGGGTGGCGGGGCCGTCCCGAGCGGCCGCCGGAGGCCCCGGGCTCCGGAAGCCAGGCATTCCGGAAGGTCAGGGGCAACGTCGAGGAGTGTGTCCACCCGGGGGGCGCCCAAACACGGCCAAGGAAGGCTCCTCGAGTGGGGGCGCGAACTGAAAGCTCGCGCCCTCCACCAAGGGGTGCCTTCGGCTCGCGAGCGCCCGAGAGCGTCCAAGAGGCTCCCCCAAAGGCCGCCAAGAAGCCCCAAGCGGCTCCAAGAAGGCCGCCTGCCCAACAGTGGCTGCTGCTGGTTTTTGGGGTACCTGTTGTTGTTGGGCATTGTGTTCACTTTTTCCGTACCCGTCTCGGGCGTCCAAAAGGGAGGGACTCGTCGACGCACAAACGCCCACGCGTTACCGGCCTGGAACATATCCTTATCCCTATGCTGGGCACCTCCGCATCACGATGCCAATCTTTGGGATCCCCTTATTTTTTTTAGGGCGGATCCCTGAAATTGTCATCGCCTTTTGGCGTGTCAATCTTAGGGATAGGGATACGTTCGAGGCTGGTTGGTCCAGGTCCGTCGGTTTCTGTCCCAGGCCGTTTTCGCTGAGGGGAGGTGTACCAAAGGGAGGTTTGCCCACCGCCGATCCTAACCGAAGTCACGACGGGCGGCGTCTCGCCACTTTCGACCTCCACGGGCGCCCTCTTCCGTGCCTTGGCGGCCACCCCGGGAGGAGCCACCGGTCTCCGGGAACGGGTCCAGACTTCTCGGGGCCGACGTCAGTCATCGGCGGCGAGCGGGGGGGGGGAAGTGAGAAGGAGAAGGCCCTCTCAGAAGGCGGCGGGACTTCGCAGAGGCCCTCGCGCCTTCTGAGAAGTTTTTCTGTCTTCGGGGAAGGCTTCGAAAACTTCTCAGAAGGCCTGGGGACCTCCGAGCCTTCTGAGAAGGCCCGCACCTTCGCACTCCCCCCCCCTCACCCGCCGCCGAGGTCCACGATCATGACGTCGGAGGTCTGGGGAGCTGGGGCCCCCCTCCTTGAGCCGAGCGTCCCCCTCGGGAGCAGCGGCGTTCGCCGCCTCCCCGGGGGGGAGGGGGCCCAGGCGGGGGCGGCCCTCGGTCTCGGTGCTCGGTGCGATCGAAGGGGAAGCGCGGGGACGAGAAGCGGGCAGCAGTTCTTGCCCAGTCTGACCCAGATTCGCCGTCGGAGACGGCGCGGCCGCGGTCGGGCTGGGACACCACGCTTTGTTGGTCGTCCCCATGTTTTTCCCGCACCCATTTCGGGCGTGCCGGGGTGCTGGTGTCCGAGACCAGGAGCTATAGTTGCATGTGTCCACCGCCCGGGGAGCCAATGCCCTGGGACCTCCGGGCGCGGCGGGTAACTATGATCAGAAGATACAGCTTTGGGACCCCGTGGGCCCGCGATGTTCCACATCAGATGCCTTCTGTCAGGCGGTCGCAAACATGGATCAAGGGGGCATGGATTCGCGACGGGTCCCGCTTCCAGGGGAAATCGCGGATTTCCACCGCCGAGCGAGGCGGCACCGGCCACCTTTTGGGGAGGGCAGCTCCCCCGATACATGGATTTGGCGACCGCGTGCCAAATCCATGGATCGATTGCTAATCCATGTTTGCGCGCCCCCGATTCTGAGGGCCCTGGGACATCGGCTCCCCAGGCGGTGGGTGCGCAGGTCTACGACAGACTGCGAGCCCTTCCCTGCGGATCCAGACACCCATGGTTACTGGGATCCACCTGGCTGCGGACATCTCTCGTAGTCTGAACCCCAGCCAGCGTTTCAGAATCTGCCTTTGGGGGGTACCTAGACCCCCTCAGGTCACGAACAAAATCAAGATGGGCGGCGTTTCGCCATTTTCGGACTCGGGGGGTCGGGACCGTCAACGAAACCACTTGAATTGGTCCAGGCCTCTCGTGGTCGACGTCAGGAACAAATCATGACGTCGAAGGTTTGGGTAGTGTTCACATGTGGTTGCCGAGCATAGACTCTGGACTTGTATGGTTGCGCGATGTCTGGAGTGTTGCCGCTGGGTCATCGTGCTGGGTTCATCGTGGCTCACCGCGGAGGCTTCCGCCGATATGTGCCGTGCCAGTGCCAGCGTCGTTGTAATGAGGGCCTCTTGCAAGGCGTGGCAGCTGCCAGGCGGGCACTGGCTGGTGCGTCTGCCCAGCAAGCACGTGCTGGGACGAGGCGTCCGACGAGTGCAAGTGCGAGACGCCGAACCCCAGCGTGTCGTGCGTGGCGCCGGGGGCCACGTGCCCGAGCTCCGCGAGCTGCAACCCGCTGTCGGGCAACTGCGAGTGCCCCTGGAGCACGTGCTGGGACGACGCCGGCCGGAAGCTCGGAAGCGGTCCCGATCTGTGGGCTCCAGCGCCTGGGAGGCCGATCTTCCTGGACCTCGGGGGGCGGCGGATGTGGAAGCATCTGGCCCCCAGGGGTCCCTGATACATCCAGGTCTGCGGAGGGGGAGGAGGAGGAGGAGGAGGAGGAGGAGGAGGAGGAGGAAGAGGAGAAGGAGGAGCCCTCTTCGTCGAAGAAGCGCAAAACATGCACTGCGGTGTGTGGGCCAGCGGCGGCTCCCGTTTCCAGGCGAGATCGACGCGCTCGGAGTGTTCCCCCGTCCTCGTCCTCCTCTTCCTCCTCCTCCTCCTCCTGATCCTCCTCCTCCTCCTCCTCCTCCTCCTCCTCCCCCTCCTCCTCCTCCACCTCCTTCCTCCTCCTCCTCCTCCTCCTCTTCCTCCTCCTCCCACTCCTCCCACTCCTCCTCCTCCTTGTCCTCGTCCACCTCCTCCTTTTCCTGCTCCTCCGCCTCCTCCTCCTCCTCCGAAAGCAGGCCAGACTTAGGCCTGGGCGGTTTGGGTGTTTTACGGAAGAATCAAGGCGCCGACAAAATTGCACGCGAACGGTGGCAGCCTGCCCCTGCTGCACATGGGGGGGGGGGTTCTTGGAGAAGCAAGGCGCCAACAAAACTGCGCGCGAGCGGTCGCAGCCTGCGCCTTCTGCACATGGGCGGTCTGCGCGCTCTGATTTAACGACTCTGTGCATGCAGGCTCTTTCCCTGCGAACAGACTGGCCGCTTTCATGGAGCAAGTCGTTGCCTGACCTCCGCATGCGCCACACCCAAGCCCACACGTACGTGCGGCAACGCTCCCAGTCTGAAGTGTGGATGCTGTCTGGGATGCCGTCGCGCATCTTAGGCCAGAGGCCATCGACGCACCGCGTGTTTTTTTTTTCCAAAGGAACGGTGTCAGTGCGCCCGTTCGGGCGCACGACGCGCACGCGGTCGACGCTGGCCCCAATTTTCTGCACCGTGAGAAACGATGCCGTGAGATAGCTCCAGATGCGTATAATGCGGCTTGACACGGTCAGCATTGAAACGGGGCGGGTTTTTGCTTTCGTCGCTGTAAGCAGCGCGGCTTTTCGGTGCTACGGACTGGTAGGCGCCCGCGCCGTCCGATTAAAAACGTGAAATTGCCCGCCCGCGTCGTCGCCCGCCCCGAAGCGCTCGCCTGCTGCGCCATCGGGCAGGGGCGCCGCTGCCGCCGCTGGCGCGGCCCTGGCGCTGGCTGCGCCGTGGTCGGAGCCAGAGATGCCGACGGCCGATGACACCGCGCGAGCGGGCCCGTCGCCGAACAGGGGGGCAACGCGCAACGTGGCCGCAGTGCACGCGCTCTCGCAGTTCATCAGGTTTTGCGTGTAGCCGATGGACCCTTGTATCTTCTCTGCGAAATCCTTTGGAATAGGTCGAAGCGCGGGCGATGCGTCATCGCGGACTTCGCCGCTGAAAATGCCAGGGCGCGCGGGGTCGGGCCACGCCGCAGACTCGGCGCCGGCCCCCAGATCGGAATGGCACGCGCGCCAGTGCACGCCGATGTCTGTTGACCGCGACTATGTGGACCCTGCTGAGAATGGCGTTTCAATCTTCCGGGTTGTCCGCGGCTCTGATGGACGGGTGGGTGATTTTCCTGAGGTGGTCCAGGCTGTACTTGCCCGTGGTGGGAGCAGCCAGCGCCGCCTGCGCAGCGCCCCTGTCGCAACGGTTGGCGCGAGCCTGCCTGGGCGACCCCTGTTCGAAGGAGCGCCCGCCCCACCGTGCCTGCAACAGGGCATCCTCTTCCTTGGGATTGGGAAGAGCCTTCAGGACATCTGCGAGAACCTTCTGGAGGACACCGCCGTCGAATGCCCCGGGCAAGACGTCTGTCGTCGGCTCCGCGCTGCAGAAGTCCATGCGTTTTGCCGTCAGGAACGCCGCATCGTCGCCGCTGAAGGTTGGGGGCAGAATTCGCGAACGCAATCGTCTTGGAGCCGTTGCTCTTGCCGACCCTGGATTTGCCGCGCCAAAGCAATCCGCGCTTGCCGACGCTGCCGAGCATGTTCTTGAGGACGCTGTTCAAGAAAAAACCCAGCAAAGTCCTCCAGCGCCAGGGTCCAACGCGTGATCGACTTCGCGTTCGCCCTCCCCTTTTGGTGATTCCTTAACGCCGCCCCTACCTTTGCGGCGGACCATGCGGCCGCGAATCTTCGACCCCACTGCGTTCGCCAAAGTGTCCGCCCACTCCATGAACCGGTTCCTGTTTGTTGTTAGAGCGCGGGCCATGCTTGCAGATGAACTTGAATCCTGCGCTCCGCTCCTCCTGCTCCAAAGGCTGCTTCTTCTCGTGTAGATGCTTCAACGTATATCTGATTTGAAACCCCATCAAGCTTCTCCAGCATGTGTTGGAAAGCTGCGGCGCCATGTCTGAAGTTCTTCCCGTAGTCGATATTATGCGCCTCGCCGCTCGCAAAGGCCAAAATGGTCGCGGCGTCCACCCTGTTCTTCTCGAAGATGACCACCTTCAAGATGCGGACCTGCGTGCAACTGTCGTTTTCGGGAGTATGGCGCGCGATGAACAACTGCACAGTATAGGGGTCGACTGGTTCGAGATTGTAAGCAAGGGGCGTCTGCAAATCTTTGAAGCGGCCCTGACAACACAACTTGTGCACCTGTGCAACATCGAAGGTGCCCTTGTGGTTCAGGATCGCGTCCGCAAGCGCAACGAGCTTCGTGGTGCTACCGCGCGAAATTGGCACTAGGGGACGGTCGAGAATCTTCAGGTCGACCTTGATGGACCGTCCGTTCTTCTTCACAGCCTTGCTCGGGTGGCATGCGAGCTCGTTGCCGCTCACCGTGAGAGACGCCTCCTCAAAGGTGAGCTTGGCATCGCCCGCCGCGTCTGAGGCGACTTGCCATGGTTTGCAGGAAGAGCACAGGGGCGCAGGCGATGGCGTGTATCAGTAGACGAGCCACACACGAGCTGCGGTATAGAGGCATCGGCTGCGGCAGAACACCAAAATGCGACCGGCATCGTTATCCGCTACCTTCCTCTTGAGCCGAAACGTTTGAATCGGGGCTGGACAGAACCCCCAATAGTGACACGTCGATTAGTGAATTGTCCGTTTTCGGTTCTCGAGAGGGCGCCGTGGCCGTCAGTTTCCAGGCTTTCGCCCGCCAGATTTGGGCCCGAGGTCGTTTTCACTAAACCACGTTTTGCTAAAGGGGGTTCTGTCCATCCCCGATTGAACACTAAGAAAACTCGCGGAACAAAAAACTATGGGTTCTGGCAAGTTCTCTTGGACCTTCTCAACAGTTCTGGCGACATCAAAGTTTTTGGGGGGCTCGCAGGTTCTCTGAGAGTTCAAGCGTTTCGGCTCGAAGGGCTGCAAGAAACCAAAATTCCCAGGCCTATATTGCCTCCTCCTCCTCCTCCTCCTCCTCCTCCTGTGACCTGCGGATCCCCAATCCATGCGAGCGCGTGCCCGACCCTGGCGCCCCAGGGCAGCGGCTCCCCATGCGGTGGATACGCAGACCCCGGTCACCATGATTTGTTCATGACGGTGACCCCGGGACGGGTTTGTCGTCCCGAATCGTTTTAAGACGGTCCCGAGGCCCGGCGAGGGCCTCCAGAGGCCCAGAATAGAGAAACGAAAACCCGTCGTGATTTTTCACGACGCGAGGGGCGTGGGGATATGGACGAACCCCTGCCTCGCGCCGGTTGCTTGCAGGATCCACCAGGGTTCGCGGCGCGCTACGGGCGCGGACCGTGCCGGCCGACCCTGGGCCGGAGTCGGGCCAGGGGGCCGCTTCGGGTCGGGGGAAATCCTCCTCCTCCTCCTCCTCCTCCTCCTCCTCCTTCTCCTCTTCCACCTCCTCCTCCTCCTCCTCCTCCTCCTCCTTCTCCTCTTCCGCCTCCTCCTCCTCCTCCTCTCCTCCTCCTCCTCCTCCTCCTCCTCCTCCTCCTCTCCTCCTCTCCTCCTCCCCTCCTCCTCGTCATCCTCCTCCTCCTCCTCCCCCTCCTCCCCCTCCTCCTTCTCCTCCACCTCCTCCTCCTCCTTTTCTTCGCTCTCGACTCGGGTCGGGGTCGGGCCAGGTGGCCGGCTCGGGTCGGCCCGGTCGGCCAGGTCGGGGGACTGGCTAGGGCCGCGGGACCCCAGACATGTTCGGGTCGGGACAGGCTCTGGCTCTGGCGTCGCGAAGACATCTCGACCGGAGTTTTTGGGCCGTCCTCGGTCCTCCAGGGCCCTCTCTGGAGCGCGGGGCCGTCAAGAGACGACCCGGGAAGAACCACGACCCCCTGGGGGCCCCATGTTGGAAGAGTCTGGGCACCGGATAGTCTGGCTGTTCCCTCCCCCTTCCTTATTCTTGTGTATGAGAGTTTGACAGCGATACACGCTGCGTCTGCGTGGCAGCCCAGCGCACGTATGACGCGCAATTGTGCTTCTTATAGAGCATGCCATTCTTCCACTCTCCCCCCGCCCTTCGGCGGCGCGGACCAGGGGGTGGTGCGAGGGGGGGGGGGGCGTCTGAGAAGCGGCGCGCTTCTTGGACGGCAGCGGCCTTCTTGGAAGGACCTGGAGGCTCTTGAGAAGGCTCCTCAGAAGCCCGGAAGGGCTTCCGAGAAGGCCCCTCCCCTCCCCTCCCCTCTGTCCTGAGGAGGAGGAGGAGGAAGAGGAGGAGGAAGAGGAGGAGGAAGAGGAGGAAGAGGAGGACGAAGAGGAGGAGGAGGAGGAGGAGGAGGAGGAGGAGGAGGCTCCCCCTGCCCTCTTAGAGGAGAAGGCCGCCCCCCTCGCGCAGCCCCCCCCTTTGCGCCCCCCCCGGTCCCTGCCCCTCCCCCGGCCTCTTCCCTGGCGCGAGCGGGCCGCTCCAGGGCGCGCTCCGGAGCAGCTCGCAGGGCGGACCTCCTCCTCCTCCTCCTCCTCCTCCACCTCCTCCTCCTCGTCCTCCTCGTATGACCAGTGCCAAGAAGTCGCGGGATCTTGTCGACGCCGATCTTGGCCGTGGTCCGTGCCGGCCGTCGCGGATCCGCGGAGATGATCCCAAGACAGCCCAAGAGGCCTCTAAGAGACGCCCAATGAAGCTCCAAGACGGCCCAGGAACACCCCAAGAGGGCCCCAAGTCGGCCCAGAGAGGCCCCAGAAACGGCTTCCAACGTCGTCAGACGGACCAGGGGTCCACCAAGACGTCCAGGAAGGCCCGAAGAGGCCAAAATCATTGAGCTGACTCGAGGCGGACGGTGTCCAAAATCGGCACGACGTTGCTACGTTCAGTCTTGGTCATGGCGTCGTGCGACATGAGACATCCCTCGGAGCTTCCAAAGGAAGCTCTCGGAGTTGTCGGCGCCCGAGTCTGTTCGCATCTGGCCGGAGATCCCGACACAGTGCAGGGTGTTTCATGGAGCATTCGGGGTGAACTCACGGATTGGGGACTCTGGTTGTTCTCCGATGCTGTCTCGGCTGATTGAGGCCTCCAAGCTCCCGAAACCGTGCGGCGACGACTGCGCGGTGAAGCGTTTTTGCGGGATCTCGAGGTCGCCGCACGGGATGCCACCGCACCGGTTTTGGGGCCCCCGGCCGCGTGTTGGAGCCCGACTCGTCGATCCGCTCTGCTTCCGGCGTTGGCTCTCCCCTCCCCCTCCTCCTCTTCCTCCTCTTCCTCCTCCTCCTCCTCCTCCTCCTCCTCCTCCTCCTCCTCCTCCTCCTCCTCCTCCCCCTCGACTCTTCAGGGCGTCGTGGCCCGGGTGCTCTCTGGTCCCCAAGTGCATGTGGGGCCCTCTGCTCGCCGCGGGACGCTCCGTGTTGACGGCCTCGGGGCCCAGGGATTCCACCCGGATGCCGAGGTCGGGGGCATGCAGTCCAGGCCTTGAGATGAGGACCGCTTGAGCAGGAATGGGAGGAAACTAAGAAGGGATGAGCAGGAGGATGATGAGGAGGAGCAGGGGGAGGAGGAAGAGGAGGAGGAGGAGGAGGAGCAGTAGGAGCAGTAGGAGGGGCGGAAGAAGGAGGAGGAGGGGGGAGGAGGAGGAGGAGGAGGAGGAGGAGGAGGAGGAGGAGGGAGGAGGAGGAGGATGAGGATCAGGATCAGGATCAGGAGGAGGAGGAGGAGGAGGAGGAGGAGGAGGAGGAGAACGGGGCAGTCTGCGCCGACAGCGGCGCGCAGGCTGCCTGCGTAAGGCCGCGCGCGAGCGCCCTCGTCTCCCCTGGGGAGCAGGAGGGCCTCGGGTTCCTTGGGGGGCATTCCTCACACCATGGTCGCGGAACCTGTTTGCTCAGGAGGGGGAAGCAACACAGACACAATTCATCGTTGATCCCCCAGAAAATATGGGAAACATGGGAGTTGGGCGGGAAGACGAAAAACACAGAAAATATGGAACCATATGGGGCATATGTTTATTTGCGTGTATTCATTCGTGTGTCCCAGGGTCCCTTCATTTGCGGCCGAGGCCAGGAAGGCCCCTTCGCTCCTCACTCGGCGTTCCCCTGCGGCAGCACGTGCAACCTTTCCCTGCTTCCGAGGTCAGACGTGCAAGGCGCTCCCTGGCATCCCGACGCCGGCGACGACGCCGCCACCTTGCGACAGCAACAGCGATTTCGCGCAGCGCTGCGGCATGGACGGGTATCGTCAGGAGGGGAAGAAGTACCCAGACACAAGTCATCGTCGACTCCCAGGGGAGTACGGGAAAAGGGGGGAAGACAAAACACCAGAGAATAGGGGAAGAGATCGGGAATCCTGGGGTCTGCATATTTTTGTTTGTGTCTCCCTGGGCCCCTTCGAAATCCCTGGCCTGCTGCCCTCGCGCTGCTGCCCCGGGGCCCCCCCTTTTTGCCCTCCCCTCCACCCGTCCCCCCTCTCCACTCGTCGAGCGGGGGCAGGAGCCGAGGGGTGGCTAACCCCCTCCTCCCCCTCCTCCTCCTCCTCCTCCTCCTCCTCCTCCTCCTCCTCCTCCTCCTCCTCCTCCTGCTCCTCCAACTCCTGGCCAGTACGCGTGCGGCTGGTCCTTGTCAGGTCAGAACTCCTCCTCCTCCCCCTCCTCCTCCTCCCCCTCCTCTTCCTCCCCCTCCTCCTCCTCCCCCTCCTCCTCTCAGGAGACAGCGACCGAAGCAGGCCGTCGAGCCCCCGAGCCTCGAGCCCTCGATCTCCTCGAGCTGCCCCTCCCCCCCCCCCCCCCCTTTCGCGGGGGGAGCCGTGCCCCGGTGCTCCTGCGGCGGTGGCTCCCCGCGCACGCGGCCCAGCCAGGTTTATTCGGGGGTGCACAGAACCCCCAACAGTGACACGTCGATTAGTGAATTGTCCTTTTCCGGTTCTCGAGAGGGCGCCGTGGCCGTTATTTTCCAGGCTTGCGCCCGCCAGGTTTGGGCCTCAGGTCGTTTTCACTAAAGCACGTTTTACTAAAGGGGGGTCTGTCCATCCCCGGTTTATGACGTTCCAACCTACTGTAGCCCTGACCACCAGAGAGAATCTCGAGCACCAAGAAGGTACCGAAACTCGAGGCTTTGACACGTGTCGGGCCCTCGCAAACGCTCGTCCGACACCGTGTCCGACACTGTGTCGACACCGCTCGTCCAAGTGCTCGAGATTAGTTCTGGGACATGGTCCGTAAGTAAGATGGGAACAACAACATAACAGCCAGGTACGCCTCCTGCCCGGCCGGCTACACCTGCAACTCGGAGCTCGGGCATGCCGGGCGAACGCCAGGGGCACTGGTGCAGGGCTCGTTGTGCTTCCTCTGGTTCGGCTCGATGCGCTTCCGCTTCGACTGGGGATGCCGTTTCGAATTTCGACTTGTCCATGGAGGCCCGCTCGCGTGCCGAGTTCCGCCGCTTCGACTCTTCCCGACCCGGCTGCCGATCTCCGCCGACCCAGCCCATGTCGATCAACGAGCCAGCTCATCGATTCGATTCTGGCCTGGCCTGCCGTTGGAGGGAGGGGGATCGCCTAATGGAGGATGACGATTAATAAATGACCGGGGGTCGTGTTGACGCGGCGGCGCCCGGGGTGACGATTAGAAAAAACCGGCCGCGGGCTGGAAAACGATTTTTTCAATCGTTCTCTTCCAGTCAGAATACTGTGCAGAAATAGCAGAAAATTGTTGACGCTTCGCGTATCCCCACCAGCCCATCCAGAAACGATGCTCAGGGGAGTTGAGGTGATCAGGGAAGTCGGGGAGCATGCAGAATAACAAAGGGCGGGGGAAGCTGTCACAGACCCCGAGAGGGGGAGGATGGAAGAGGAGTCGTCGTCGTCGTCGTCGTCGTCGTCGGAGGAGGAGGAGGAGGAGGAGGGGGAAGAGGAGGAGGAGGAGGAGGAGGAGGAGGACGGAGAAGGAGGAAGAATCGGAGGAGGAGGAGGAGGAGGGGAAGGAGCTTCTTGGGGGTCTTTTGAGGGCCTCTTGGAGGGCTTTTTGGGCGCCTTGGGGCATCTTGGGCGCCTCTTGGGACCCTCTTGAGGCGCTCTGGGGAGCCTTCGGGGCGCTTTTGGGGCCATCTTGGAGGGAGTCGATCAAACAAGAGGGGGGGTTTAATTAGCGTCCCCCCTCGGAAGCCCCTAAAATCGCCTCTTGGACCCCTCTTGGAACGCTCTTGGAGTGCTCTTGGGCGCTCTTGGGGCCGTCTTGGGGCTCTTTTGGGGCTCTCTTGGGGCCCTCTTGGGCCATCTTGGAGCCATCTCCAGGCCTCGGATAGCCATCGGAAGCGAAAAGGCGAGAAAGCAAAAATCATTGATTTTCCTTAGGTTTTGGGACGATTTTGGCCTCTTCGGGGCCTCCTTGGGGAGCTGTTTGGCCACTTGGAGTTATCTTGGGGCCGTCTTTGGGCTTCTTGGAACCATCTTAGGAGCCATCGTGAGCGATCTTGCGCTATCTTGAGCCATCTTGGAGCTCATCTTGGGTTCTCTGAGGCGCTCTTGGAGCCGTCTTGGGCCATCTTGGACGCTCTAACTACCCGCGGCCCCCCCCGTCCAGGTCCAGGGGAGGGGGTAGGGGGAGGGGTAAACCCCTCCCCAAGGGGGAAGAGGGAGGGGTGGAAGAGGATCTGCTCTAGACCACCTACGCCCAGAGGGCTGGTGGGATTTGTTTGAATCGTTCTCTCCCATTTTTTTATGAATCGTCATCCCGCATTACAGGCCTCCCGATCTGTCGGGTCTGAGCAGATCGGGTGGGAGGGCCTCAGGAGAGGAGAAGTAACCACCGACACAGAGCTGCCCCTCCCTCGCTGTCGCCGTGTTGGGGCTTCCCGGGTCCAGGGGCCAGCGGCATCGGTACTCTGCAGGGCTTGACCTGGACGGTGTGTGTTTGGCGATCCGTGGGCCGTCTTCGCTTCGGCGTCGTGTTGCGGTGAAGGCGGGCTCGAGACACAAGCGAGGGAGAACGAAGACAAAAGACCGAACAGCACCGTTTAGGTTCGGCCTTGGTTCCCGCAGGATCGCTCCGCATCGCCGATGCATGGAGGAGGCGGCTCGATGTGGAGCCAGGGCTTCTCCACGCCGAGGGTGTCGATGCATCGCCGATGTCGACGATGCATCGGCGATGCACGGGCGATGCGGGGCGATGCGCCGACCCCATCCCATCGGACCCCATCGAGGAGGAGGAGGAGGAGGAGGAGGAGGAGGAGGAGGAGGAGGAGGAGGAGGAGAGAGGAGGGAGCAGGAGGAGGAGGACGAGGAGGAGGAGGGGGAGGAGCAGGAGGAGGAGGAGGAGGAGAGGAGGAGGAGGAGGAGGAGGAGGTGGGGGAGGAGGAGGAGGAGGAGGAGGAGGAGGAGGAGGAGGAGGAGGAGGAGGAGGAGGAGGAGGAAGAGCAGGAGTAGGAGGAGGCCTCCAGACAGGCCAGGGGGGATTCGAGGCCTGAGGCTTTCGGGCGTGGTCGTCGGGGCCCGTCGGCTCTCCGGTCTCCGGCTGCTCTCCGGCAGCTGCCTTGCCGAGAGCGCTCCGGGGTTGCCTTGGCATCGCTCGGACGTGTGCATTTTTCCTTCGGCGAGGACCATCGAGGAGCATCCTTGATCATTTGGCGAAAAAGCCACGCACGAAACCAAAAAAACACAGGGAATGGACGTCCGAGCGATGGGGAGGTGCTCGGATCGTCCCGGACGGCCGCCAGAGGCCCCGAGCTATTGCCCGAAAGCCAGGGAACGGAGGTCTGGAGTAACGTTAACCAGTCACCCATTGATGACCGATTGGGGCCCGATTGCCCGCCCCGCCCAAAAACGCGGGGTTTTGCCATCGGGTCCCTCATGCCGATCTGCCAGAGATTCACCGGGCGCGTTCCACTATTCGCAAAGTGCCTACTCGCAAACGTCCGAAAAACACATGACTGCTTCGATGTAATGTATCGTAGATCCCCCTCGTCGGATCCAGGCCATTTGCGAGTAGTTACTATGCGAGAAGTGGAGCGCGCTCGTCTAGAGATGTATCACCGATGCCAGCTCCATGCTCCCCCTCCCAGGCAGGTCCTCCCCTGGCGTGCCCCCTCGAAGGGGGGGGGAAGGGAAAGCAGGGGTGCTTTTGTGTCCATCCTGGTATTCCCTCGATGTCGACCCCTGGGGCCCGGCCCGTTCACGGGCCCCAACGTCACCAAAAACATATCCAGTCTTGACTTGCTCCTCCTCCTCCTCCTCCTCCTCCTCCTCCTCCTCCTCCTCCTCCTCCTCCTCCTCCTCCTCTTGGGGAAGTGGTCTGGCTTTTTGTTGTGGGCCAGACCTGGAACCGAACATACCGGGCATCGGGGACGGCAAGGGTTGCGACATTTGCTGCGCGCATCTGGTTGCGGCACCGCCGCCGGGGGCGTTCCTCGCCCCCGAGGCGCGCCTCACGCGCGCCGAGTCGCTAAGGCCCCCCAGACATCTGACGATGTGATATCTCATTCGTAGCGCGGCGCCAGATGGCAGGAGCGCGAGAAGGATGCACATGTCACTACACGAGTCCTCGTCGGTTTGGAGAGGGTGCGTTGCGCGAGCGGTCGCACAGCGAGGTGTTGCTGTACGGGGTTAGTACGTCTTCTGTGGGCTCCCTAAGGTGTTTTGACCCCTTCCCTGGGGCAAGTTTTCTTGGCGCCCCGGATCAAAAGTTGGGGCTCCGTGGGGGTTGATAGATAATGGACCCCCGAGGCCGAACTCGAGGGGGAACGCTCCGATTGAGGAAGATTGTGCCTTTAGCATCTCGCATCGAAGGGTCGTTACCCGGGCCAACCTCCCTTTCCCTCACGGAGAAACAGTAACGATCGTACGAAGGGTGGCCAGATATTGGTGTTACGCGCGCGTACACTGGCGTACGAAGGGTACGATCGTACGAAGGGTACGATCGTAACGATCGTACGACCCTCGCCACAGGTTGGTGCTCGCGCGCGCGTACGCTGGCGATGGCAGCGCGCCCCTCGCCTCGACGTGCCCCACCCTGCCCACGCGCTGCTGGTGCCCGAGACCCCAACGCCTTCCCCCGCCTCTCCCGTGCCACGACCGCTGCCCGGAGATAGCACAAAAGAAAGCATCTCCCGCCCGGCCGCCGTCGCCGTCGTCGTTTTCGTCGTCGTCGTCGTCGTCGTCGTGGTCGTCGTCGTCGTCGTCGTCGTCGTCATCGAGGTCGTGGTCGTGGTCGTCGTGGTCGTGGTCGTCGTCGTCGTGGTCGTGGTCGTCGTCGTCGTCGTCGTGGTCGTGGTCGTCGTCGTGGTCGTGGTCGTCGTGGTCGTCGTCGTCGTGGTCGTCGTCGTCCCGCCCGGCCCGAGGAGTCCCACTGGTGCGTCTGCGCGTAGCGGCATACGCCACGCGCGCGCTTGGCGCCCGCGGCGCTCCCCCCCCCACGCCTCGGCTCTCTGTGCCCCCCACGTGGGGTCGGCGCAGACGGGGGTCGGCGGAGCGCTCCGCATCGCCGAGGCGGGTCGACGGGAAGCCCGATCCTGTGAAAGCCGACGTCGCCCTATAGCCCTATAGCCCTATAGCCCTATAGCCCTATAGCCGACGTCGCCGATGCGTCGCCGATGTCAAGGATACATCGCCGCTGCATCGCCGGTGCATCGCCGGTGCATCGCCGGTGCGTCGCCGATGCATCGCCGATGCGATGCGGCGATGCGGCGCGCCCCTCCGACCCCATCTGGGTGGACCCCTCTTGGGAGGCCTCCATCGGCGGGGCGCGCCGCCGCCGCGGCCCGTCGCCGCTCGCGGCCGCGGCGGCCGAGGCGCCGCCCGGCGCCGCTCGCGGGCGCGCAGGCGCCGCCCGAGCGCGCGCGCGCGAGGCCCCGCGGCGAGCCGCGGAAGCCTTGGCGGCCTGCGGCCGGCCGCGGGCCGTCTCGGCGGCGGCCCTCGGCAGGAGCCGCGCCGCCGCCGCGGCAGAGCGGCCGCAGCCGCGGGAGAGCGCGGCGGGGAGCACCGCCGCGGCCTCGCCCGCCGAGAGCGCGCGGCGGGTTCGCCGCGGTGCTCCCCGCGGAAGGCGCGGAGGCCTCGCGCGGAGGGGCGCCCCCGAGTGGCAAAGCGCCCGGCGCCCCCGCGGCATCTGCGGGGAGAGCGAGAAGAGGAGGAGGAGGAGGAGGGGAGGAGGAGGGGGAGGAGGGGGAGGAGGAGGAGGGGGGAGGAGGAGGGGGAGGGGGAGGAGGAGGACGAGGAGGAGGAAGAGGAAGAGACAAGGACAAGGAAAAGGAAACGTATATTCGAGATGAGGAAGAGGAGGAGGAACAGGAAAAGGATATTCGACATGAGGAGGAGGAGGAGGAGAAGGAGGAGGAGGAGGAGGAGGAGGGGGGGGAGGAGGAGGAGGAGGAGGAGGAGGAGGAGGAGGAGGAGGAGGAGGAGGAGGAGGAGGAGGAGGGAGGAGGAGGAGGAGGAGGAGGAGGAGGAGGAAAGGGACAAGGGAAAGGAAACGGATATTCGAGATGAGGAGGAGGAGGAGGAGGAGGAGGAGGAGGAGGAGGAAAGGGACAAGGGAAAGGAAACGGATATTCGAGATGAGGAGGAGGAGGAGGAGGAGGACGAGGATCAGAAAAAGGATATTCGACTTGAGGATGAGTAGGAAGAGGAGGAGGAGGAGGAGGAGAAGGAGGAGGAGGAGGAGGAGGAGGAGGAGGAGAGCCGCGATCGCCCGATCCCGCTGCCGAGGCCGCGGCCAGCGCGGCCGTGCCCTCACAGGCCCATCAGGCCCGCGATAATCAGAACACGTACCTGGACATCTTACGCCGACATCTAGGTCGGCCGCATCTACGGCTACGACCTCATGGGACCTGACGTCCCGCAACCCCCGCTGGCACAAACGGCTGCGCCGACATCGTGCTGACGCCCGTGTACAACTTCGGCTTCACGAAGCACGATCGCTACTTCAAGAATACCACAGCGCCCAACAGCCATCACGACATCCACAACAAGCTCCAACCATGGCGACATTATTGAGGGCAACCGCCAGTGGATCGGGATCGGCGCAACCACCGTGGAGATCAGGATCGGGCCGCCCACGGTCCAGAGCTACAACACCGAAGCCCACCTCACATGCCTCGGGGCAGGAGTCGAGCGTTGGAAGAACCGCAACTGGATCGACCAGGGGGGGCGACGACCACCCAGACAAGTCCTGGAGCCAACACTTCAACGGGAAGGGCAGTGTGAAGAACGGCGAGGGGGAGGAACGACCACCAGGACACCGCCACCAACAGCCAGAAAGGCAAGGGCAATACCAGCAAGAGAACAGGGCAAAACCCAACGCGAGCGCCCCTTCGGGACGCCCGCTGCCGCCGAGCTCCGGCCCCAGCGGGGCCCGACGTGCCGCTGCAGTCGGCCCCGTCTCCTGGTCCAGGCTTCGCGCGCCTCGCTCTGGCGCCCTGCGCCGCGTCCCGGGGCGGGCGTCGCGCGGCGCTTCGCTCGCCTGGAGATCGCGTTGCGCGCCTCCTGGCCCTCTCGACCCGGCCATGGCGGCAGGGGGGCCGTGGCATTCGGCCCCGAGGGAGCGACCGAGCAGAGGGTGGGCAGGAGCGCGATTTGTGGAATGTGCGGCCTCACGCGGTCCCGATCCCTTCCCCTTTGGGGGCCATGTTCCGCCCCAGATCAACCCTCGAGCCATGAGATTACTCGACGCGGAGATGCCCGCATGTGCATGTCACATCTCCTGTCACGTCTTGCTGAGGAATTCTGTCTGTGAACACCTGGGTGTGACAGCCAATCCGCGCAGACGACAGGGCCGACAACGACAACGACAGCAACCATTTCAATGGCGCCCTCCTTCTTGTGGACATTTCTCAGAAGAGACGAGGGAAGCACAAGCGCAAGCGCGATGGGGGAATTCCTCTTGCCGTTCTCACTACGGCAACTCAGGCAAGCGCGCTTGGCATTGCTACGCGCGCTCTCTGGCGCGCTACAGTGGAGACCCATGCCAAGAAACACCCTGATTGCCTCCAGGATGCCCTGGGTTTCTTGGGTTTCGATGGTTTTGCAAAGCAAAGGAAAGCGTGACGTTCCCGCACCATTAATCCATTGACGTCCTGGGGTCTCAGGGTTGGGTTTCTTGTGGAAGGTTTCTTGCGGACTGGCCTCCACTGTACTCGCGACGCCTGCTGGCACTTGGAGTGCCCAAGTGAGGCGCCAGCTGTATCGTGGCAGCCACCTGCGCGCCAGCCTCCGTCTGAGCGAGCTGTGGCGTGAGTGATCCGAGTGCGGGAGAGTCTGAGTTTGACCGAATCTGGGTATGATTGGGTCTGGGCGCGTGCGAATCCGAGTGCGAGCGGGTCTGGGTGCGAGTGAGTCTGAGTGTGGGTGAGCACGAGCGTGAGCTCGGTGAGTATCAATCTCCATACGAGTGAGCCAGAGTAGGATGTCTCCTGGGTACGAGCGGGTCTGAGGGTGGGCGAGTCCGAACGTGACTGGGTCCGAGTGTAATTTGAGCCTGGGCGTTATCGGTCCTGAGTTTGTACGCGTGCAGCTCTGACCGAATCCAAGTATGAACGAGTCTGAACACGGGCGAGCCTGCACGTTATGAAGGGTTCTGAATGAAGAAGAACTGCTGGTAAGCAGGTCCGAGTGTCAATGGGCGCGTACGAAGGAGAAGTATGAGGAGGAGGCGGAGGCGAATTGGTGAGCGAATGGCACGCGTGTCCAAAGAGACGTTTGGGAGAATCGTCTACCGTCCCTATCCCATGCGGCTCCTCCTTGGGGTGCCCAAGTGCCACGCCTGTTATGATGCGGTGATCGGCGGACTCTACCCCTGTCGGGGGGCAACAACAGGAACCCCGCCTGAGACAGACCACCGTCTGGGCACGAATGGGCGAGTGCCATGCCTCCTAGCAGCTGAATCGCGGTGAACGGCTGACACCAAACGAGAACGTCTGGGGGGCAGACACAGACAAACCGCCTGAGACGTCCCCGAAACTTGGGCGCGAACGGGCGGGTGTCATACCCCCTGGCGGATCTCCCTCTGGTGCCCAGGTGTCACGCTTGCTATATCAGTAGGCGACATAAGCAGTTCTGGCATAAACAGGAAAATCGCCTCAGGCATTGTGACAAACTGGGCGCGAGCGGGCGAGTGTCATACCCCGTCACGGTACCCCCTTCGGGCGCCTAAGTGTCACGGTTGCTACATCGTGGTGACCAATGGGTTACCAACAAGAAGTAACATGGAAGCAAGAACCTGCAAACCGCGTGAGGCGTTCCTTCAATGTGGGCGCGACCAGGCGAGTGCCATACCCCTTGGCGGCTTCCCTTGGGGCTCCCAAGTGCCACGACCGCTTTATGGCGGTGAGCAGTGGACCACCAAGAAAGGAAAGACAGGGGGACAAAAGCAGGCAAACCGTTTGGGACATCCCCACGGTGTGGGCGCGAACGGTCCAGTGGCATACCCTCTGGCGGCTTTTTTTTTCCGGAGTGCTCAAATGCCACACTTGTTCTATCGCGGCGAGCATTTTGCCATCCGAGAAATTCGGATGAGTACGAGTGAGGAAAACGGTGTCGAGGAGAGAGAGAGAGAGAGAGAGAGAGTCTGAATGAGTATAAGTGGGTCTGAATTTGGGGTATGAGTGAGTTCTGAGTTATTTAATCGCTTCGCTCATTCCGCCGGCCCGTATTGCGCACCGCGGTCGACTGGATGAGAGGTCGTCGGCAGTGCGGAGCTGCAGGGAGCGGGGGCTGTTTTTTTTGTTGAGTCGTTGCGTTCGGCCTTTTGTGGTGAAGATGCCCCGGTGGAACAGGTTCGTGTCGATTCGTGGCGACCGTCTGTGGGGGTGGCGGGGGAATCGTTGGTTCCACGGGGTTCTAGGTTTTGCTGCCCTGGGGTGTGCCTGGCGCGTTTGTGGGGGCTCGTTGCCCGTGGATGCCCCTGCGGGGGCCTTGAAGAAAGCGTGGCTATTGCGACAGTTGTGTTTCTCGACGTGGGAGGGAAAAAGAGTGTGTGTGTGTGTGTGTGTGTCTGTGTGTGTGTGTGTTTTGAAGGAAGGGGGGGAAAGGGGGCGGTCGCAGTGTAGAGGGGCGACAGTGCAATGGCGAGAAAAGGAGAGGGAAAGGGAAGCAGGAGGGGGAGGAGAAGAAAACGGAGGAGGTGGGGGAGGGAGTGTATAGCTGCAGTGGGGAAGGGGGAGGAGGCAAATGTACGAGGGGGTGAAAAGGAGAGAGGAGCCAGGGCCCGACATTCGGGTGAACGTAAAGGGGGGTGGCCCAGACGGGGGGTGAACTCGGACGGCCTCGGAGGCGGCGCAGAGGAGGTCTGAAATGAAATGTGATTCAATCGTTTCGCTCACTCCGCTTGTCCATATTGCATGATCGCGCCGTGGTGGGCTAGCCGAGTTTTGGGGCCTGTTGAGGGCCGTTTTGGGGCCTCTTGGGGCCTCTTTTGGGCCTCTTGGGCGCCTCTTGGGGCGTCTTGGGGGCCTCTTGGGGGTCTCTTGGGGCCTCTTTGGGACCTCCTGGGCGGCTTCTGGGGCGGAGGGCTCGATTTTTCAGTTCTCTGTATCCCTCTGAGTTATTCTGACTCCTGAGCGAGTCCGAGTGCGGAAGTGATTTGGTTGAGCACGTTTAAGGGACAGTGGATGTGTGGTGGGCCCCGTGAAGAAGAGTGGGGTCGTGAAGGACCCCATGATTGGCTTGGCTGGTTTGAGTATGAGTATACGAGTCATATGAGAGCGATGAGGAGGAAGAAGAGGAAAAGGAGGAGACCACGGACGAAGGTCTGGAGTCGTCTACGCAATAACGGGATCCCTATCTTAGGAGATTGGAACAAGTCACTGCGGATGGTTTCTCGATGTCATGATGTTTCTGTTCGGCCTTTGGGGGCCTCTGCCAGGCTTCGGGGCCGTCAGAGAGCGACTCAGGATGAAAGCCCGACCCCGCGGAATGGGTCCAGATTTTTGGGGGCCGACGTTGTGAAACAATCATGACGGCGGGGGTCTGGGCCTTAGTGCACCCTGGAAACGACGGGCCGTTTTTTTTGTTAACGGTTCCGTTTTACCGTTTTTTTTGCCTGTTCCGACGCCATTTTTTTACCGGTTCCGTCGCCGTTTTTTGACCGGTTCCAGCTCCGGTTCCAATCCTGGAACCGCTTTTTGCCGATTCCAGTCGCCGTTTTTTTGCCGTGTCCATTTTCAAGGGGCATTTTTTTGGGAAACGGTGAAAAATCGGCCCTGTCGTTTCCGGGGCCCACTAAGGTCTGGGCATTCCGCCCTCACCTCCACGTGCCCCTCCTCGGCAGCCATATTGGCCCAAGCAGTATAGAAGCCGCATCACCAGGCCGTGGAGCTGCCAGCGACACCGCCCTCTGCCACTCGGCCCCCCCCCCGCCTCGGGTTGGCCTGGCGGGGCCACCACGACTCACGCCTCCGCGGCGGCAGCCCCCGCGCCATGCCTCCAAAGTACCCGTGCTGCCCAGCGGAGGGGAAGACAGTCGAGGAGATCCCAGACCTCCCGGAGGGGATCTACGACGAGATTCGAGATCTGACCGACCCGCTCGACAACGGCAACCGGATCATCTCGAGGAGCAACAAAGTCGGCATGATTAAAAGTTTTCCGAGGTCCGCGCGGATTTCACGGATCGGCGGTGGAACTTCTTTCCCAGCGCGCACAGCGCTCCGCGGAGGTGCCGCCAAGGGGGCCCAGCGCCGATCCAAGAAATCCGCGCGGACCTTCGAAATTCTACAGCAAGGCTGGGAAAAGTGGTAGGTGCCAGTCTTTTCACTGTTTCCAGCCCTGGCCAGTTTCATTGCAAATTTGTCCAGCCCTTGCGGCCCTAATTATCCCAATTGCTTCGGGCACGTTCCAGCCCCTGCCAGTTTCTCCAGCCATGGCCACTTCACTTTCACTGCTTTCTCAACTTCCTCTGTTCAAGCTCCTCTGAGATCCGACGCCAGGAAAACTTGCGACATCGTAGACAACTCGACCAGAGTTTTGAACATCATATTTTTGTATTTTCCGAGCTAGATGCTTCGAAGCCGCTGTGACGCCAGCTTCTCAGAGTTATCTGTACGACAGGCCGCCGCCGGCGTTGAACATTGGGCGCCAACGGCGACCCAGAATCAATCGATGTTGAATGGTCTGTCGTTTCAGAAATGGCCGATCGTTCAAGATTGAACAATCCCCGCGATGTCGGACCCGCAGCGCCGCTGGGAGAAGGAGGAGGAGGATGAGGAGGAGGAGGGGGAGGAGGAGGAGGAGGAGGAGGAGGGGGAGGAGGAGGAGGAGGAGGAGGAGGAGGAGGACGTGCCTTCTGCCCAGTTTGTAGGCCTGGGGGCCAGACCCGAAATCGGCACCACGCGAGCCTGCCGCATGCCGCTTTTTCTGCTCCTCGGCCCTCCTCGCGCGCGGCCTCGTGGCGGGCCTGCCCGACCCGCTGGTCGTGAAGCGGATGCCGCTGACGGGCCCGTGCGGCTTTCAGAACCTCAACGAGGCCTTTGCCTTGCTGGAGATCCCAGCGCAGCAAAGAACCACAGCAACGGTTGTTCTAGGTTTCCCAGGTGGGGCCCGAGCGGATGGGGTCGGAGGATGGCGCCGCATCGCCGATGCAGCGCCGATGCGGCGCGATGGGGAGGACGTGTTTCCCCACGCCGATGGCGCCGGTGCATCGCCTATGTCGCCGATGCGTCGCCGGTGCATCGCCGATGCAATGTCGATGCATCGGCGATGCCGCGCGATCTTTCGACCCCATCTACTCTGACCCCTCTGTTGCCTGCATGCGCAAGACATGATGGGCATGTCTTCCACCACCACCATGAGTTGGAGGGGGGAGGAGGTCCTCCTCCTGCTCCTCCTCCTCCTCCTCCTCCTCCTCTGTCCCCCCTCCAACTTATTATGGTGGTGGTGGAGGAAAACAGGCCCATCACAGAGTGTGTCATCGGTGTGGTTGTGGTCGCCTGCTGCCCCTTCCAGGAGATGGGGAAGGAGCAGCTGTCCGCCGTGCTCCCAGCGGCCGCCGTGTACAAGGACCCCACATCTCGCAGTAGCAGGGGGGAGTCAAGCAGGTGTTTGACAGCGCTTCGGGGGACCCCCCCCCCCCAGAGCGGTGCAGCCGCATCGAATCCCTCCAGAGATAGTGAGAGGGAGAGAGAGAGAGAGCGAGCACAGGATCCCAGATCAAGACACGCCCACGGCGGATCCAATCGAGGGAGAGAAGACGGCGCGTACTTAATTACACTTCGGCCTGCGTGTGGAGCTCCGCGCGGATGCCTCGGATCGGCGCGCGGGCCCCCTGGCGGCGCCGAGACCTCCGACGGGCGCCCAGGACCGTCGGAAAGCGACTCGGGACAGTTTGTCGCCACCCACCAAGCCGCCCCAACCCAACCCGCCGGCCTCCACTAGCCCTCCATTTCCAGTGGGGGGGGAGGGGTCGAGGAACACTGAAAAAACACATGTGGAACCCGTACCCCCCCCCCAATCCGAATTCGGGTCTTCGGGTTGGGTTGGGGTGGTCTGATAGGTACGGTAGGTTCGCGTCGTGTCGACCGGCGGCGACCCCGCCGCCGGCGTTCAACGTTGAACGCTGCGGGCGGCCCAGAATCGGTCGATGTCGAACGATCCTGACGTTCCGGGAGCGGCCGATCGTTCAAGGCTGAACGATCCCCGCGGGGTCAGGAACCAACGCCGGGGTCGACACGACACGAACCTGCCATAGTCATTTTGATGGTGAGTAACCTCGGATTGGGTCGGGGTGGTCTGGTAGGTACAGTCGGGGCCCTGAAGAAGGAACCCTTCTCGTTAGGGAGGGGCTCGGTGTTCCTCGATTGCTTCGCAGTGTGCCTTGGGTGTTCCTGAGGGTCCCCATGGGGGACCGAAGCTTAACTTGTGAGCAAAAGTGGCCTCCTTCCTTATTTAGGGTTCCTTAGGGACGGTCCACGCCCCGACTGTAGTCATTCTGATGGTGAGTAGCCTCCTCCTCATCCTCACCCTCCTCCTCCTCCTCCTCCTCCACCTCCTCCCCCACCCTCATCCTCCTCCTCCTCTTCCCTCCTCCTTCTCTCCTCCTCCTCCTCCTCCTCCTCCTCTCCTCCACAAGTGCACACGCCGGGGTCGACACGACACGAACCTGCCGTAGTCATTCTGATGATGAGCAGCCTCGGCGATCGGTGCTCTGCCGCGCGGCCGCAGCCGCGGGGGGGGCGGGCGCGCGCGCAGCGGCGCCGGGTCGGCGCGCGGAGGGCTCTGCGCGGCGGCGGCGCGCCTTTTGGCGCTCCTCCGCCGCAGGGGGGCGCGCGCGCGCCGGCAGGGGGCGCCGCCACGCAGGGGTGCTGCAGGCCAGGCCTTTCGGGGGAGCGTAAGACCCGGGTTTGCCAGGACTCGGGTTCGCCATCGTTTTTTGACGACCGCGACTCGGATTTTGACGAGGAGGAGTTTTGTGGGACGTCTGCAGCGGGAGGCCTCGTCAGAATGCAGGCTCGGCCTCGTCATTTTTTTGACGACCTCGTCGGGGATTTCCGAGTCCCCTGTACCCAGGTCTTACGTCTCCCCGA